TGTAGAGAGTAAATGAGAGGGAGACCCCCCCCCCCAAAGGATATTTTTGTCTCTAGCTGAATGGGAGAATCTGGAAAGGGGGGGAGTGACCAGAAAACAAGGACTGAGCATGCATCCAGTATGTCACTCACTGTTTATACTCCTTACAACCCCTCTTGTAAATATCATTTGCATAAGAGCACTTTGTATTACACGCACTACCTCACATTTGTAAACAGATGGAAAGGGGGGGGGGGTTACATGTTTCTAACTACTAAACTCACGGAGCAACATGGAAGGGGGGCAGGCAGGAGATTTGATTGCAGAAAGAAATGATGAAAGATAGGACTTCAACATCTGTCTACATTTGATGACTTCGGGATATGTTCTTCATCCTCTATAGACGAATGCACAGCATAGGCACTTTCTGGTTTTGAAATTATTTAGGATCGTTCCCTCTATTCTGTAGACGACTGAAAAACTACCGAAGAGACAGTTTTAGCCACCTCAACAATGCAGCTGGCTTTAAAGTTCGTTTCACCCATTTGTCTCTGTTCAGAAATCAATACAACATTTCAGAGGTTGATATTTGTTAATTTTCATCTAATATTATTCATAAAATTTTAAAAAAAATAAACCCCTCTTCAAAATAATTCAAAATGGATTCTATGATAAATAACAGTTAAATAACCCAAAATAATTGCTGTATTATATTACAACAAATTGCTACTGCTATTGTTGCAACAATAGTTTTGTGAATTGTGTTATTCGTGAGTCGTTTAAGGAAGAGTTAAACGCAGAGTTTGATCTAGCTGTGCTTTAGATTCACCGCGTTTCGTTTCAAATGCAGCTTCTCCAATTTCATGTAAAAGGGTGGCGGTGGTTTTAGATGAAGGGAGCTACTAGGAGAGCAGACCCTGCTCCTATTGTAGCTTTGGTGCAGCTGCGTGAAGGTGAAAAGAAGGTGCAGTTGATCTCGGAGTTTTCCGTAATCAAACTAGGGGTGGGTATAGCATGCTACTATCTTCTTGGGAGCTGTCCAGCTGATATGGTGCTGATCTATTCTCCAGCATACCTGGTGCAGGCAGTCAAAGAAGCCAGCAAGTGCGATGCAGTCTTTAAGGGCTTCTCCGATTGCGTGGTCAAGATGGGCCAAAACATTGCCAACTATCCGCAAGACCTGGATGACAAGAAAAATCTCGAAACAATCTGCCGGTAGGTTACATTATGCTTTTACAGTTGTTTCCGGTTTGTGTGTGTGTTTATCTAGATCAGTGTTTCTCAACCTTGGCAACTTGAAGATGTCCGGACNCTACTTCCCCTCCCCCTCAGCCATTCCTTTCTCCCCTTCCCACCATCTCACCCTCCGTAAGGAGGAAAAGGCCTTTTTCTGACAGCTGCTAGTGAAATCCCTGGTGAGATCCTTCCAAAAAAATAATAATAAAAAGGATGTCCTTTTTAGAACCTCCAGGGATGTAGCCCCTTTTCTATCTAGGCGACCAAGCCGGATGGACAGGTGGTAATAGAGAGGTAGTCAAGCATTTAGCCCTTCTCCCCTGATGCCCACCGCTGCCCTTTGCACCCGCCTGTAGGTGGGAAGGCTGGGGGAGAAGCCACAACCCAGAGGCTTTGAGAAGAAGCCCTTTGCCCAGGCCTCAGCCAAGGAAGGAAGGGAGGGAGGGAGGCTGGATTTATTCTTGGACTGGTCTCCCGTGTATCTTACTGGTTCGGTATGGCAGCCGACGCCTGCAGTCTAGCAATGTATTGAGATGCGGGGGAGTGAGTTAAAAAAGAAAGAAAGAAAGAGGGAGGTGGTTACTAAATTGAGCTAACGGTATAATTCGGCGGGGACGCGAGAAGTTCTCCCCAGCATTGAGCTTTGATATTACGAGGCTTATATTTTACGCAGCCACTTTAAATACATGCACGCGCGAGCACGCACCGCATTCCCGAAGGATTACTACGAAAATCTCTTAGGGTGGGGGCGGGAAAAAAATCCCCCCTCTCCCGATTGCAAATGCCCTGTTCTTCGCCTGCCTTCCCGGGGCTGGAGAAGGCTGCAGAAGGCTGAAGCATATGGACGGGAATAGCTAATGGTTTGCTGAGAATCGAGCCAGGCGATCACTTTAAAACCAAGAACTAATTCCCTTTCATTTCCTGCAGGATTGATAGGCATAAATTGCCCGTATGCTGTTCTGTATCCATTCACCTGCTCTCTCTCTCTCAAAAAAAAAACCCCCCAAAACAGAGAAATTGGGCTGGTTTATTTTTGTGTGTGCACATTTTTCAGCAATGTAATCAAGTGACCAACACACCAAGCTACCACTCGTTTACACGTGCACACCCCACCAGGAGAGACTTATTTTACCACCTGTGCATTTCAGATCCATTGTGATCAAATAAGGCTCCGCCGTCAAGTTTCATGGGTTGAAGATAATACCATGTTTCCAATCTAGTCCCCGCCAGACATATGGGATTCCTACCATTCTTGGCTGAGCATGAGTGGTGTAGTCAAAGAGATCTGAAGAACACCAGGTGGGAAGGACTACCCTAATCTTTGGGGGGAAGGAAGGAGGAAAGGAGGGAGGGAAGGTATGAGAGAAGGAGGGGGGNAGAGAGAGAGAGAGAGAGAGAGAGAGACATATATACATATACACATATTTTTGGGGGAATTTACAATTATACATAATGCTGCTTTTGCATCAAGCATATTGGGATTTTTTATATAAATTTTATTGAAAGTTTTAAAGAGAACAAATACAAACTAATATAAGAAGGAAGGAAGGAAGGAAGGAAGGAAGGAAGGAAGGAAGGAAGGAAGGAAGGAAAAGAAAATATGATTTTGTTTGCAGCAAATATAATTACAAAATTGTCTCTTATTTTATGGTTACCAAAAAAGCTTTTATTTTCAAATTATCCATTCTTTTCCAGTCATTAAAACTATAGGTCATAAGAGCATTTTTCCCATTTCATGCAAAAAGTGGTTTCCAAACAACCATAAGTCAATAACTAATATAAGTCAAACTGTCAATGAAGTTAATTAGGCATTTCTGCATGCTCCATCATGGTCACTAACCATTCCTCCATTGTGGGTAGTATCAAGCCTTTCCAGTTTTGAGCATATAATAGTTTTGCTGTGGTTATCATATATAAAAACGAAGCACCATAATGTTTTGCTAGTTGCCTGTCCATTAGCCCCATAAGAAATGTGTCTGGTTTCAGTTGTATTTTAATCTTAAATTTAATGTCCGTATTTGTATCCAATTTTTTTTCTAAGCATGCCTTAATATAGTTAATTTGAAATAACACACAAATCATCCTTGTCATAGTTATACTCATGTATTTTACTTTCCAATATGAATATGGTATGAAACATATTAAGAGACCTTCTTTTGTTAACTGTTTATATGAAATATCATCTTGTGATGTGGAATTCCTGGGAGAAGATTCTGCACTCTTGAATTAACTACAGCTGTTATGGATGCTGTTGTCCATCAGGATCTTTTTCCCAGCTTTCCCTTTCATTGTCTTGTCACGAAGATGCTTTTTCAAGAGGCAGCTGGATTTTCTTTGTTGCTCCTTGAAGACATTTTGCTTCTCATCCAAGAACTTTCTTTCATTTCTCATCCAAGGAGCTTTAGAACTGAAGAAGCTTCTTGGATGAGAAGCAAGGCACTTTCAAGGAAAACAAACAAACAAAGGAAGTCCAGTTGCCTCTTGAAAAAGCATCTTTGGGGCAACCATGACCTGGATGACTGAGAATCTCCATAGATTTTCATGGTCTTCTTTCTCCACCACCACTAACACAAACAGGTGAGAGATCTGCGGTGTCATATTCTTCCTCCCCCCCATGAGGGCATTTGGGACAACAAGAGGACCTCCAAGACTTTCTGGAACCACTTGCATTGTGCCCAATGCAGGGGTGGGATTCAGCCAGTTCAGACTGGTTCGGGTGAACCGGATGCTAATTTTACATCTGGTTCGCCAAAGTGGAACTGGTCCTGTCCATCCTGCCCTTCCTCTCCCATGAGTCACCACGTGGCCTGTTTTGGATGCCAAGTAAGTTCAGGGCCTGTGTGNTTTGGGGAAGCCTAGGTCAGAACAAAAACATACAAAAATGGTTGCAAGAATTGGGTATATCTAGTTTAATGAAAAGAAGGACTAGGGTGACAGTCTTCCAATATTTAAAAACACTAGAGGTTTTTAAGAAGTGAGTGGACAGCCACTTGTCTGAAAAGGTATAGGGTTTTCTATCGGAGAAGGGGGTTGGATTAGAAGACCTCCACGGTCCAATTCTACTATTCTGTTTTTCTCTGTCTCTGTAATATCTCAGTGAGCTACAGTACTTGCCAAGTATACAGGAGCTGATTATTGGAATGCATTATTGGTTGGCACTATAGGAGAATTAAATCCAATCAGGAAAAAAAAAACAGTTTCAATGATCTATGTTTCAAGGAAGAAAAAATTCTTTGGAGACCACAGATGGAGGGCTAAATGATATTTTTAATTTAAAGTGAAAGAAGAAACATAATTCTCACCCACAGTTGCAGCATGAATCTTGACAAGCTAGCAGAAAGAATAAGATTAACACATGCATCCTTACACTGTACACAAGCTCAGTTAGGAAGTTTCCACACTTTTAACATTTATTTTGGAACAGCTGTTTTCACACAGATAATCAAATTGTTTCATGTGTACCTACATTGGATTGCAAACATCGATGAGGCCATAATATTCGCAAGTAACCAACTACAGTCTAATATCTTGAACAGGAAAAAAGCATTTACAGAATATGAAAAGTTAAACCAAAACACTGGTGGACATCTATGATAAAATGGCATGTTGAAAGGATTGTTTTGGTTGCAGTGTATTTGCAACCTTTTTAAATAGATTGAATAAATCCTTTATTCCAGGACTGTATCTGTCTGTCTGTCTACCTATGGATGTTGAATAAAATACATACTATAAAAAGCCTACCAATTTCAAAGATTCTGTTTCTGAATACCTTTATGGACAATTAGCTCTTCCAGGTCACCCCCAGCCCATCCACCCCTGCAGGAGAACTAATGCTTTTTAAATTTAAGTTTGCTTAAAATGTCTAAAACAGTGGTCCCCAACCTTTTTATCGCCGTGGACCAGTCAGCCTTTGATAATTTTACCGTGGCCCGCTGAGCGCG